TATGGAAGAAGAAAATAGAATAATATGTTTATCTTCGTCTTCAGATGATTAACCGAAAATTATAACAATAAATTTAAACTAAGCATACTTAATGGCAAATTTTTTAAAGTACTTCAAGATGATCATAATAAAGAAATTCATCGTGACTTTGGTATTGACGAAAGTTATAGCAACTGTTACAGATAATGGTCTAACTTTAAGAAAGCTTTCAAGGAGTTTGGATATTCTATGGAAGCTGTAGAGAATGACTTTGACATCAATGATGATGAATGTATAGAATTCGAAATCATTGTAAGTATTATTTAATACTTTAAAATTTATTAATATTGTAAATTTAGTAAAAAATATTCAAATAAAATTATTTATTTGTTTATTTAAGGGTCTAAAGAAGCCTCAATAACATTGCCTCAACACATTCGTTGTTTGTGCCATACGATAAGTCTAATTGCCACAACAGATGTCGAGAGAGCTATTAAGGATTCTCCTAACATTTCTAAAATTCATCATCCTGCAATAGCTAAATGTACTAAGCTATGGAATGCAAATAATAGGCCTAAAACTGCAGAACTTATCAAAGCAGTTTTAGTAAAACAATTAACCTTGTTGCACTAGATGGAATAGTTTGTATGATAGTCTTCATAGTTTATTAAAATTTAAAGGCGAACTTCATAAATTATGTCAAAAATTAGAATTTCCTAAATTAAGAGATATTGAAATTCAATATTTAGAAGAATATTGCAATATAATGGCCCCATTGGCTATAGCGATTGACAAAATACAGAGTGAAATCAACTGCTATTATGGAGAATCAGCTCCAATTTTAAATGTCGTTAAAAAAAATTACAAATTTAATTCAAACCAATCTACAATTTTGCAAACCATTAGCTATTGCCATAGAAAATTATTTAAAAAAAAGATTTAAAAATATATATGATTTTGATAACAATTTTAAAAGTGTATTTTTGGCAACTATTTCTCATGCCTATTTTAAAAATCGTTGGATTGATGGTGAAAAGGAAAAAAAATACCATCAGGATTTGTTATTACATGAAGTTTTAATTGTTTTTAAAAATAATATTGAAATTAATACTTCAACAAAATCTTCAATTGATGAAGATGATGATTACTTTTTTCTTATAAGTACCACATCCAATTCTAATAATTCAATAAATGATATTGAAATAGAGGTCCTAAATTATATGAAAGATGACAGGCGGATTATAAATATGTTAAATAGTTATAAATATATAAAAGAAATATTTATTAAATATAAAACAATATTACCCTCCTCAGCCCCCGTTGAAAGATTATTTAGCTTTGCTAATATGGTTAATAGACCAAATCGTCAAAGATTGAACTATAAATCATTTGAAAAATTAATAATATTAAAAAATAATGCTGATTTATGATGCTGATTTATTATTATTTACTAATTATATAATTATTAAATGGAATATCGCATTATTTTTTATAATAAATTTGTTATTTACTACAATTTATTTTAAAATTTTTTTTATAAATTTATATTATAGATAAGAAAATAAAGTTTATACATTTTGATTTTGATTATTTAAAGTTTTTTTAAAAAGTATCTTGTATCTTAGATACTTTTTTTTAAAAAAATACAAGTATCTTGTATCTTATATCTTATTGAAATTTTTCTAAAGTATCTAGTATCTTGTATCTTAAATACAAAATTTTATAAAGTATCTGTATCCGAATCCAATTTTCTGAAAATTTGCCCAACCCTGCTACTAAGCAGCTATTATCATTGGTGTGTCAACGGCTTCTTGTGAGGCCTCATTCTCTACACTACAGAAAGTTTTATCTAGCACTAGAGAGTGATCAAAGTAAGCAAAATTTAGTGTTGATGGCTTGTAAAAAAAGGTAACACAAAATTTATCTTTTAAATTATTTATGCTAAAATTTAAAAATCATCGTATTTTATATATTTATATTATAGTATTATATTATATTTATATTACAATTTCAAATTTTTATTAAAAATTGCTAAATATTTCTATGTAAGCTAAATTATTTGTTTTATTTTAAAAAAATAGTGCCCCCCCCCCCCCCCAACCCTCGGACCAGGAAATTCCTGGCTACGGCCCTGTTGAGAGTCCAAGTATAGTTTTGCTATTGACTTATAACATATATTACTATATGTTTTATCAATTTTGATATTATTATAGGGTTTTTAAATTGTACGTTTTATCCTTCATCCAAAAAAATGACATTCAATCCAATCAATATTTAACCAATGACAGGTTTCTAATCTTAATTATAGCAAGATACTCTTAAATTTTCCCATGTCATTTAAATTATGGAAGATAAACACAATGAAAATAAACTCCCTAAAGTAGTATGTCATCGTATGCCATGTACAATTAAACATAATGGACCAGCATCTGTTAAAAACTATTTTGAACCAATAATTCAAGATAAAGGAACCCACAAAACAGCAAGTTTTAGGTATTATAAAAGTTTAATTCTAGAAAAATTACATTAAAAAAACACTATTATAGTATACGTAATAACGCAATTTTATTAAATTTTAAATATGTTAATGATATGTTGTCATAAGGTAACATTCTTTAAGAACAAGGTATTGGAAGTTGAGATATTTTAGAAAAGAAATACATTATCAAATATTAGTAAATCCAATTTTTTTATGATTGTAACAAATGTTTTCTTTATTTTGTAATTGAGTATTTAATATTTCATAAATAATTATCAATCAGATTTCTCTATCAGAGGTATTTTGCAGGGGGCTAAAAAACTCCACTAATTAATTTTTTATTTTAGGCCCTTTTCCCTGAACCTCACCTCCCTTCCAAAAAATTAAAGTTTTTTTTAATAGTGTTTAATTTGAATCGTTTTTCTCCTTATTATTATAAAAATCTTTTTAATATTTTATGGACACATAAAATAGAGAAAAAATTTATATTTTCATTATTTTTGCAAAAAAATTTTTTGAGTTGCTTCCACTTCTGTTTTATTTAAAGTATATAGTGAGTTATATTTTAACATGCTCTGAGCCAACTCTAAATGGCTAAGTGAAAACAGCATCTTAATCATGTTAGAAGTTTAAGGAAACTTAAAAAATCACTTATACTTCAAGAAAATATCCTTACTATTAGGCTTAGCCATTTTTTGACTGTAGGATTTATACAATTTAAACAGGCAAAAACTAGTCCAATTTTAACTAAATCTTTTAAATGTTAAAAAAGGAATTTGAAATTTTCAAATAAATATGATGCTGTAATTTACCATATGAAAAATATATTTGGATATTTTTTTTATCAGGCTCCTTAAGTTTCCTTTTGCCAAATAACCATTTTTTATTTATTGACTGATAAATAAATTATTGGGATGTTGAAAATATTATCTAGACAGTGTTTATTTTACAGAAAATTTAAAAAAGAACTACATCCTTTGGCCGCAAGATTTATGCACCCTTTATGCTCTAAAGCCCCATGATATTAATTTGAAAAAATCTTATAATGAGCCACTATTTGTTGCCTCAAACATGTCTAATTAAAAGCTTTCAGGCCTCATGATTATTTAGGCCAGGAATAACAAATTATCATCAGTTGGTGATAATCAACTAGTTGTTACTAAGCATATTCTAATATTAGCCACGAGAATATATAACTTCAAACTTATAAAATGTTAGCTGTAAATGAATGAGAATTTCTTTTTATTAGTTCTACAAATTGATTTTAATTTACCCTACTGCTAGGTGGATTCCTACCCATTCAAAAAAATTTAAGGTAAATCGTTCCTTTCTCCCTCTCATGTAGGTAAATATTTACAGATATCACTCGATTCAGAAATCCCACTTTTATTTAAAAATATTATTTGAAAAAATCCCAAACTATAGTAAGATTAAAAATAAATTTACAAATTCTCTAGAGGGCATTACACAGTGCCATCTAACGGATAGCTTTGATAACGAGGGTAAAATGACCTGAATAGAATTTAATAAAATTATTTTTATTTATTTTACAAATTCTTTCCCAATGCATACTTTTGTATGATTTGGCGAAAATCGAATAAGAATCTGCCAAAGGTTCAAATTAAATGAATATAGTGGGTGTGGATAATATCGATGACAACATTCCTAATGAAAATTTCTTAACTGTGTGTATATTTAATGTTCATAAATATTATTTGACCTTCAATATCGGAATGGATTTCAGTTTTTTTTAAAAAAAATACAACTCAAAGAAATGAAAGATTTATCTAAATTTTTTTAAATTTGTAATCGTTTAATTAAAAATTTTTTGCATTATTTTTAAATATAATATAAATAAAAAATTTCATAATAAAAAAACATAAGGTATATATATATAATAACTTTTTAGTCTGTCTTATCTCAACTTCAAGTTTAAATAAAGTTAATCTTCTTTAATTGAATTTTCAATTCATTTTTTCATAAGAAACACCGAAATTCTTATTTTTTCAAATCTTAGAATTTTGATATCTTTTTATACGAAATTTTATATTATGTTTTAGATTATATCACTCAAGAAACTTATGTTAAATAATGGAATATAAATTGTTATTTTAAATTTTTTTTATTACAAAAAAAGGGGAAGGCCTCTCATGGGAAAAGATGTGATATTAAATGATTTAACATCTCATAAGCTTACAGGATTAATATTAGCAACCACCAGTGATGATCCGGACAATATTAGATATGAGGTTAAAGGAAATTTTGATTCATTCACCCACTGGGAATTGGATAAAGATGTTAATATCTCTAAACAATATAAAGACATCAAACAATGGCTAGAAATTTCGAGCATATTGCATAGGGAAGAATAAAAATTATGTATTTACGATATTTATTTATTATAAAGCTTTTGTACATAAATAAATACATGAATACTAACTTATTAAATATCATTTTAAAAAATTATATTATTATATAATTATAAAACGGATTCAATTATACAGTATATTCCAAGATTGATATATTAATATAATGCAAGCATTCTGTAAAATTTTATATATTATTATCTCTATGATTGGTAATCAATAAGTTTGTAATAAAAAAAAATTCCTTGTTTCTTTTTGTATTTTTTTTTATGATCTGAGATTTTGTAGAGATCTTTGTCAGAATTTTCGATATTTTTTTTAAAAAAATTAAACGTAAAAAGTTCGAAATATATTTTTCTTTTAAAAATGTTAAAAAATAAACATATATGTTGAGAAAAAAATGTCATTTCGAAGTTAAACGTAGGCTATTTAAAAATTTCTTCAGGAAAAAGAAGTGGCCACCATGCCTTTATTAATGGGAGTTTTAGGAGAATCGAGATTATGCATGACTAAGCTCTCTATGATTGGGCATCTGTGAGTGGTCGAAGAGGAGGTTATGGGGGAAGATGAATCGTACTGTTTAAACAAGGTGCCGTCTTTAATTTTCTTTTTACTGTTAAATTAATTATAATTATGTGTGAGATTATTTAAGTAGTAAAAGTGAAAAGACAAAATAAGACTTAGGCCATACCAGAGCGTTTACGCGGTTAAAGAACCTTTAGTATTCATAAAAAATATTAAAACGATAAATAATTTATTCAGGATTAATTTTAAATACATTAGATTCCTGTAAGATTAGCATTTTCTCGGGTAGTTTTAAATGGCTCGATTTTTAAAAACAGCTAAAATATTATGGCATGCCAGCCGGAAGATTTTGCTCATAGATGGTAGAAAGGCTAGGACATCTCTTAACAAAATTTTGCAGCTTACATAATATTTTGGCCAAAATATTAATTTAAAATTGATTAAATTGAGCCATTTAGCAAAAATATATCCGGGGTATTCCGAAAATTAAAAAAATATCTAACACGATTCAGCCTATAAATAAATTTATCACCAGGAATATCAAAATATAAAAAAAATATGCCCTAAAATTAATTTTTTTGTTTATTTTAAATTTTAAGATAATATACAACAAACATCTGAATTTTTTTTTTCAATTAGACATCCAAAATAAAACAATTATAATAACCCGTAATTTCGGATTGAGCAGAGTTCCTCTATTATAGAGTACTATGTACATCTACTACTTTAAAATATGGAAATTATTCGGAATTAAAATACAACTAATAAGCAGATAATAAAATTCGAAATATACACATATTTTTGCAAAAATTATTTTTATGGCTTGTTATTTCTTAACTTTACATGCTACATTCAAAGTGGGATCCGATCCCACATGATTTAACAGCTGAGTTTTAAAAATCTCTTAATGAGATCAATTTTTCTGTATTAAAATCAATAGTTTTTAGATTATAATCATGGAGAATTAACAATAAGGAGAAATAATTCAAAAATAGTTGAGTTGTTAAATAGCGCCGGATTCCACTATGAATCCAGCCTTAAACCCTTAAACACTGAGCCTAAAAAACAATTATTTAATTTATAAAATGCAATGGCGTGCTTTTTGTTTTAAGCATAGGCTGTTCACCCCCACCACCCACCCTAGGGATAAAATAAAATCATAACTTTTTCTTATTTCTCTTCAAAAAGTTGAAAGGTGGGTGTGGCTTGCTACCGACTGAATAGGCCCGCACTCTATCGTCCAATACATCAGTAAAAATTTTAAGATCACCGACGTGATTGGCATCTCGGGATGAGTGATTGACTTGCTCCCCCTGAGAAGAATTATTATCTGAGGTAAGGGACGAAGAAACGGAAGTGGAAAAGAAAAAAGCTGGAAGTGGAGGAGGAGAAGGAGCCGATTGTGCCGGAAAAAGGTTCCCGGAAATTCTGGATATTGTATTTCGATCTATATAAGTATAAAATATATTATAAAAAGTTAGTAAAGAAAGGTAAAAAATGTCGAAGGCAATATTTTTTTAGTTAAATCTCATGTCAGTCAACTGCTTTTTATAATATTTCATCATGCCACATCAATTTTATAAATTGCATTGCATCATTTAAAGATCAAAATTGCTACACAAATTTTTTTAAGTAATGAAATGCTAAAAATTATAACTTTTGACAGACGTCAGGTCATTGAGGGTAGTCCTATCACCTATTTTCCTTTTTAAGTCGCGTATTTTTTCAAAGGATATACCAAATTCTTGACGAGTTTTAGCCACATCGAGGTGTGATGACGATGCTTCATTCAGAGGTGACGGCGTTTTATCAAGCGGATGATTAACGGAAAAAGAAGCGGCGCGAGGAGAGGATGAATCGAAGTTGTCAAAATAAGTCCCCGGAACTTTTTCAATTTTTCGGGTCAACTCGTCCAGTGACGTTTTCCAATTGCCAAATGGTGAGATGTCGTGGAGGTTTTGAGAAAGCGGATTTGAGTCGTTTAAATTGTTTGTGGATATCATGGCGTTATTTGTATGAAGAGTGTGAGACATCTCTGTGTATTGAGATGCTTTAAAAAGTAAAAGAGAATAAGTTACAATGAATAAAATATATTCTTTAAATAAATCTATTAAATATTCAAAACTAGTAAGTATTCAAACACGGTGGCCAAGACGAGGCTCAGTAACCTTAGCGTTGTATTGACTAATCAATATAAGCCAATCCGATTTTCTATATTAACAATACAGGTAAAAATGTATATAGATCCAATTTAAAAAGAAAGATTAGCATAATTTTTTTATCGGCCCATTTAATATATTAGATTGAACCATAAAAACATGATCAAATCCAATATATATCAAAAAATATATACATCCCTTCAAATATTTGAGGTGTTTTGTTATAGAAAATAGAAAAATATTAGTTTCATGTTTTAGAGCTATAGCTCTTCATCAATTCCATTGAAAAAGATCAGAGAACACTGATGCCTTTGCTTAAATTAATTTTTAAAAACATATATAAGCGAATATGGTATCGATTAAAAATGATTATAATTTTTTTTAAATATTAATATTATGAAATAAATATAGGCGTATACTTTAATTTCATAATCCCTAAAATAATTCATCCAGAGACCTGCAGTGGTAAAATTTGCAAGGCTCGGCCCAGAATTTTTAAAATATATAGCCAATAATGACAATTTAAAATATTCGGATATTTAAAAAAAAAATTCAGACCCAGTCCATGTATATTTAAAAAATTAAAATACGGCCCGGCAGTGTATCCTGGCCGGACTCGCAGGTCTCTGAGTTTATTTAATCGTTTTTTATAGGGGAGGTTAAATGAGATTTTCCCGCTTTGTGTAAGAAAATAAAACAACATAGGGTAAGCCTAATGAGAAATTGACAAATAAATATATAAATTAAACAAATCACGAGGGATGTGAATTAAAAACGAATTTTACTAGGATTGGGTAAGTCACTAGTGGGCGATATTGTGGTATTATTTTGTTGGCATAACATGTCCATGTAGCCACTGTCCTGAGACGAAAACAAGGCTTCTATAAAACAATAAAAATATCATTTTTTTTTAATTATGAAGAACATAAAAATATAAACATATAGATATAATAATGGTCTTCCCGAAACCAATAAGCATTTAGTTCACTTTTAAAAGTTTCATACTTTTATAGGTCCTAGCAACAAAAGAAAATGAGCTCAAAAGGTTTTGGTTGGAAGAATTTAGCAAGTAACAAAACATATCGCTCTAATATTCTGACTAATCAAACCAGCTTACGCTTTGTAAAAGTTCAAATGTTTTAATGAAATATTTTTGGTAGGGGAGATATCTAAAAGATCAGGTTGCATATCCATGGTGTTATACAAAATATTTTGTCTTAAAGTAAATTTATGGCAATATTTCCAATCTTTTTTAAAATTCAAACATGGATAATTGTTTGGGGGGGTGTTCAGAGCAACGTTTACGAGAAAAAAAATATTTAGTAATTAAATAATTATTTCATAACTCGATCAATTTTTTGGGAATTATAATATAGTTATATAAAAGGTCGAACTTTGATATTCCTTTCTTCCAAGCCCATGACTGCAATAAGTTTTTAGCAATTCAAGGCGATGAGTTAAGTCTTGTACAGGGAGATGACCTTCAAGGTTGGAGCGTTCGCGGACAGCATCACTTAAAAATAAAGGTTAAAATAAATTAATTACTTGGTTATTATTAATCATAAATTTTCCATAATAATTTTCTTAAATAATTGTTTGGAATTTTTTTATTATTGAGAGTAAATAAAATTTTAAAAAATCGTGTTTTATCCAAAAAATAGAGTTTATCTTTAAAAATAATGGGTCATTACACCATAATAAATTTTCTACAAACCTAAAGACGGAGGCATTCGATCCGAGTCTAGATCTGTCGCTATTGCTATTCGAATGATTGGAAAACGGGATTGGCGAATTGGGGTGAATCATTGAAGTGTCTAAATGCCTTTAAAAGCAGTACATAGTTTTTATAGCATATGATAAAATTTTTGTGATATGGCCACTAATGTTATTAAACGGCTCGATTTTTAAAAACGGATAGTTCAATACTTTCGCTAAAAAAAATATTATGCAAGTCTGAAGAGCTCATAATAGATCGCAGAAAGGTTTAGACATCTATTAGCGAAATTTCTAGACTTGCGTAATGTTATTTAGGTTAAAGTCTTAATTTAAAATCGAGCCATTTAAGACTAGTAGCCACCACTTAGAAAATAACATCGTAAGTTGATATATATTTTTTACTCGTAACTAGAGCCATTTTTAATTTTTTCTTGCTCTTCCAATAATATGGGAGATAAGGGATTAATATTATGGCTCATGACATTTGCACGGAGTTCTGCCTTCATGGAAGGCGTAATGATAGGAAGATAAGTAAGCGTTCCACTTCCAGATGATAAGTCCCCATTGCTGACGGGTTTTATGGAAGGCCGATTTACTGGCGTCTCATAACTTTTCTTAAATGACATGCGTCTAATTTTCATATTTATTTGCATTTTTATTATTAAACTTCTACATTATATTTAATAAAATAGCTTCACTCCAAGTTATACCTAATAATTTATTTTATAAAAAATCCATGCAATGTCTAATTGAAATTCCTATGACTAAATTGGTTTCTCAATTCCTTTTTTTCAAAAGGAATAACACAAAAAATTGATCTAATCAGTATAAGACAAAGCTTATAAATATGCATATTATTTTGGGAGAGGAAAAAAATTAAACATGATACTAACTGTAAAAGTAGCGTGTGAATAGAAAGAGCTTGGGATTCATTTTCCGTTCTCATCCATAATTCCCCCGTGCCTAAAGATGACGTTCTTCCTAGTTCCACGTAAAAATACGAGTTAGAATATCCGCATCTCTTTATACTACAAAGCTAAACATTGATGTTTTTGTTTGAATAGTTGTAAAATAATATATATTTTTTTAAATAAACTGTTATTGACTTCTTTCTAAAGTTTCTTTATATATCTTGTCAAAGGTTGAAAACTATGCATAGCTAAAAAAAATAAATCAATGCCCTTATAAAATTCTCATCGGAAAAAGAAATATCATTTTCTTATAATTATATCTGTCAAAGACCTGCAGATGTACCATTGTTCCTCAAAGACATTTTTAAAAAAAACTCAACGAAACGCATTAAAAAAAACAAACAAAATATGTAAAAATATTACCTCTATATATGCTATCTGAACATCTCGTCGCCTTTGAAACGCGTTAACGTTGAGCTTGTTAGAGGGGTCCTTGTCTAAATCACCGCTATAATACCTTTCCTTGAACTCCTTTATAGAGTCGTTTTCTTCGTCGTCGGTATCGTAATATTGATTGTACTTGAAAAGGGAGAACAGCTCCTCACCGCTACTCAGGCCCAAAAAATAATCGCCTGATAGCCGGAAATTGACTATGCCCCTCGCTTTGAGGCTAACGCGCCACACCGACTCTGTTAATCAAAATAAAATAAGATCCCAATTTTAGGAAGAGGAAGAATTTTTTTTGATCTTCAAAACTTTGTTTCTCATTATTGTCGAGTTCCGACTGATAATCAAATCCGGCTTTTAGAAGCCAGACATCGGTTGATTACTCAACAAAATAGAAACCTCAATTCTTTAAAGATGTCGGCTTCCTCTAATGTGATACCGGATTTCAGAGTTCTATAAAAAGCAAGCGAGATCTCGTTACATTTATATCGATTTTTTTCCCCTTAACCACAAGAATCATTTATTAAGCAAATAACGTCGAAATTTCTAAAAAATATATATTTATATAAGTCACATTTTTTTTTTCTTTTTCAAATGATTATTAAAAAGGATATAAATCGGAGAACGCGTATAAAATATGTTTCTTAATTAATAACTAACTAAAAGGAAGTTGTTAAAAAAAAATTTTTCAAAATAAAAACAAAAAAAAAATAAAATAAATTATGTTGATATTTTTATAAATACGATTTTAATGAAAACAATTTTGTTAAAATGTTCTATTGATCGTTGTCTGAATGTAAGTAATTAAAAATTAAACTAGTTATGAAATGTTGTTTTAAAAGTAGTAAATTAAAAAAAAATAGATTACTTGCAAAACTATCAATTTTATGGCACACCTACCAACATTTAAAATAAATTTTAAATAAAAAAAACCGTAAGCTGGTCTAAGCGGAAAAGCGAGGGATTTTTGACGGGCCAGCTGATGAAGAATATAGAAATCTTGCAGCCAATCATCCATTTCTTTCTGACACCCCAGTTGAAAGGTTAGGCAATCGTAAGGATCCTGACCGTAGATGCTTATGCAGTATGGAAGAAGAGAAGATGCGCTACCCAATTGAGGTGACAAATTTTGTGCATGTTGGGTCATATTAATATTTGGAGTAAAAGATAGGTTACGAGTTGAGTTAACAGAAGGTGAGCCAGTTTTGATAGTTGAAATTTCGCATAAACTGGAGTCTGATAATGTATTAGAGAAGTTAACCGCGGAGTTAAAGCTATCCACGAAAGAGGAATAGGTTATGCTCATTTTATCGTCGGGTTTAATGATGGGATCCTTAACGATGGTTGATATACAAGGTGATCCCATTTTTGCGGGAAGTAAATGTTCCTTTAATTGGTTGGGATATTTTGTTTGACTGGAAATAAAGGTGGTTAGGAGGGTAGAATGAGATGATATATCGATAACATGGGCTGGCATATCTGATTTGATGACAGGGGGTGAAATTTTTGCTGACGTGGAATTATGTTCCGTCGAGGAAATAGTAACGGGTAGGGTAGTTGTGTTCGCAGATTCGATGCTCAAATTGAGTGTTGTTTCATCACATGAAGGCCTGTGAAAAGCATTAATCATCAAACCTGATCCGTTCATCCACCCGCTTTTATCGCTGAGTACCTTTTTAACACTTGAATTGTTGATTTTATCCTCGATTTTAAGCGTATTAGTAATATCTGGCCCAACATTGAAGCAATCCTTGAGATTGATGGACCTATTAGGTTTGAGTTTGTGTCTCGTTACAAGGGACGCGTAAAGAACTTCGGCGGAGACGTTGGTGTTGCTCAGTTCCGATATGCGATTATTATGGTTAGCGGTGACGAGATCCTGATTCTTGGGTTCGGAAGGAGAAATGTGCAATTTTTTAAGCAAAGTGGTAGAGTGGCTTGAAATCCATTTGCGCCGTTTAAGGGAAGGTATGTCGAAGTATTCCAGACGGGAGAGTTCATAAGGAGATTCGCAATGTTCCCAAAGTACGAATAACTTTTCTCGCATTTTCTAATAGTATATTTTTTAAACCGAAAATATTGATTATAAATTGTCACATGACTTAAAAAACCAAGGGTGCAAGGTGGAAAAGAAGTTATTGGGATATAATAACTATTTTATAAAGAAATTTCTTTAGTTTCTTTATTAAATAAAAATTATGTTTATTTATTTTTTAATTTTCACATTATCAGAGTACAAAGAAAATGGCAATATGAACACATATAAATGCATAAAATGGCGGAAAGAAATGAGCCTAATCTAATTCTCCATCCGTGGCTGTCCAGTATTTAATTAATGAAACATTTCTATATAGTTCTCTTACGGAAAAGGAAATTAGATGTTTTGAAAGGGTAACAAGACGAATAAATTTATTGCTAAAACCAGGCGTTATTATTCAAGAATAAATTTAATTGATTGACTGGAGTAATTTGTAACTTGATCGATGGGGAGACCATAATTGGTCATTTTATGATTTTTTGGTGTTCATATTCATATATTATCTTTTTAACCGTATTATTATCACATATGATAGGTGTTGTTAAACGGCCTCACTTTTTAAAAACAGCTAACCTTTTAGCCAAAAATATTACTCAGGCTAGGAGATTTAGCTCATAGATGGCAGAAAGGTTTGGGCATCTACCAATGAAATCTCGAGGATTGCGTGATATAATTTTAGCTAACGATTTAAAATCGAGCCATTTAATAACAACATATCGTGATAATTGCAAAAAGTAATCAAGGAATTATTGAAATCTTCTTTTTATAAATTTAACCTGAAAATAATGGCTCTAAAATTATTATATTAGGATAATTCCATTGTTTACACATCTTTTTTGAGTTTACATGAATTAAATTAATTTTGATAAAGAGGATTCTTAGGTTTTGGTTATTTTTGTTAAACGGCTCGACTTTTAATAACTAACCCAATATTTTAACAAAAAAAATATTGTGCAAGCCTCGAGATTTCGTTAATAGATATCCAAACATTTCTACCATTTATAAAAAAATCTCTATTAAGTTAGCTGTTTTTAAAAATCCAGCTGTTTAACAACACTAGTTTTGGTCCACTAGAAATATCTTTATTTTTTTAAAAATGTAATGATGAGCTAAAAATGTATCTTAACTCTCAAGCAATGAATTTATAAAATAATAAAGTTTTTATAAAATACACATTTAATAATGCTCGGAAAGGAGAAAAATAGGAAGGTTGATAATGTTGTAAAAAGGCCAACAGCCGGGTAGATATTTAGGCTATAAGCTGAGATGTATAGTCCTACAGGGCTGGCCAGCGACCCGAACTTAGTTCTAAAGATTTATTTTGCCACTTGAGTTTAGGGCGAGCTAGTGCCAAAAATCGACTTTTAAGAAAATAATAGTAAATTTAATGTTTTATTGCATAAATTCTAGATTGAGATATTTATCATAGTTTTAAAAAAGTGATTAAATATATTATTAATAATATTTATTATCAAAGCGAAAAATAAGAGAAGTGTAAGTTTCACTCACTTGCCAAAAATTTTATTACAAATTATCAAAAATATAAATAATACAGGTCTATATCATTAAAACATATGTCACTAGCAAAACCTAGAATTTTTTGCCGAAAACTATTATATAATACAGTCTGATTCGCGTTTTTTTCCTTTTGAAAATATATAAGAAAACTTCAAAGAAGAAGAAATAAATTTGTGCCTCAAAATCATTTAGTAGATCTTTTCCGAACATACATGATTAAACTGAATTTGCCGATTACAGTAAAAAAAAATATTCTCAGCAAATAAAGCCAACAAAATTATCGAATAATGAATCACATAAGACGTTATTGGCGTTTGAAATTGAGGTAATATAAATAAGGGGGTGTTTTAAAAGGGCAGACGTGACGAGTTAGGAACACTAAAATACGAAAAGAAAAAAAAACAATGATTATTACAAATATATAATTTTTAAAGTATAAAAAAATCTGAGAAAAATATGTAAACAATATTTTTAAACAGAAAAAATATTTTGGTATATAAAAATTTAAGTTTTATAAATGATTTTGAGGTGAAACTAAAAAAGGTTAAATTATAAATACAACGCAAACAACATATTTATTATATTATTGTATAAAATAATATATTTTTTCCTGGTAACGATATGTTTTTCACCTTTCATATAAAAAAAAATTAAATACAAATTTAAATTTTATCAAATGGGTAGTAGAGTTGTAGAAATATAGTTGGCTAATTCGTATATTTTTAAAAAATTTTTATAAATGTTTTAAAAGTTTTTGTGAAAAAAAACACAGTAAAAGGATAGTGTTGTTAAACTTGCTCGATTTTTAAAAACGGCTAACCCAATATTTTAGCCAAAAAAAAATTACGCAAGCCTATAGATTTTACTCATTGATGGAAGAAAGGTTTGGACATCTAATAACGAAATCTCGAGACTTCCCTAATATTTGGTCAAAATTTTCTAAATCGAGCCGTTAAGCAACACTATTTGGACATCCATTAACAAAAGCTCTAGGCTTGCGTAATATTGGTTAACCGTTAAGAACACTAGTAAAGGGGAAGAAAGATGATAGAGAATCCCCGCTGAAGAAATAAGACATGTTTTAGAATGCAATGAAGATTAAAAAAAGAAAAGTAAAAATATAATTTATAATTAATTAAACGGAATTATTTGTGGTTTCAAAAATTATAATTAATCATTCCTAATATTCCTGAGTCTTAGCCTTAAAGTAATCATAATCCGAGTGGGGACATAGTTTATAGTCATTTACCGAAACCGAGGCGAAATTTCGGACAAATCTTATCGATACATCATTTTTTCTAAATATAAATCTAAGTGTTATAAAAAAAAAATTTTCTCAAATTATTGATACCCAAACTAAAATTTCAGTAATTTATAAATTTATTTTGATGATTGATTATAAAAAACAATTATATTGTGATATTAATATTTTTAGAAGAAATGGCTTATTAATTACTATAATAAACATATGATTGGATGAGTAATATAGTGTTAAAAATAATTTCTGGAATTTTTAAATTGGCGATCATATAATATAATAATGAAAAATAAAGGATTATTCTCAATTTATATTTTGATATTTTTATCAGAGATCTGCAGAGGTACCATTTGTACGGCTTGGCCCGAATATTTTTTAAATTTTTTTCGGCTCGGCTAGGGTTGTTTTTAAATAAAATTTTCGTCCTGGCCTGGGTTTTTTAAAAATATATTTATTTTTCATTTTATAGCTAATAATGGCGATTTCAAATATTTGGTTGTTATAAAATATACGGCCCGACCCGGATACATTTTTTAAAAAATTTTTTAAGCGCCAGGGTAAATTTTAAAAAATTGAAATACCGAGCTTAGGGTCGGGCCTGCAGGCTTCTGATATTTATTGTGAGGAAAAAAGTAGATAAAGAACATTATAATACTCAGTCGATAATTTTTCTTTGTAATAATTTACAACCAAAATTATTTTTAAAATCCGAAATATTGACCTCCGCCAGTTTCCGATAAGATATAATTTTTACCCTAGAAAGTTTTATAATATATTTTTTTAAATGTAATAGGTTATTTTATTCCACAAGGAAAGAAGGATCCAAGATATAAATAAATATAAAAAACTGCAGGATAAAAAAAATGCATAGCTATATTTTTTGGAAAATTATTACATTTTTTTTCCTGAGAAAAGGTGGTAATTAAAATTCTCAAAACTAATATTTAAATTGTTTAATAAAATTGCGACATAATGTCTAAGACTAAGTAATATTTATATATATATATAATGTGTTGTATTATAACCTTATATTTGCAGTAAGTTCCCATGCGTCTAATTTTCATCTTTGGTCGATCGTTGGTAGTAATCGTAGAATTGGCGATAGAATAGGAGGTGGCACCAATTGGTGAAGCCAATTTAGGAATTCCGTTTTTGATGGTTGTAAGTGGGGGAAAGGTAGGGAAATTTTCCGTCAACATTTTCATCTATACGCGATTCTCCCGTCAATTTTGAATATTAAACATTTCAATTCGACAAATTTGTGTGCTTGTTTTTGAGATAAAATGGAAAATAATTTATTCTCCCCTTGATCAAGTCAGTCGAGAGAAACGAGATGAAAAATGTTTGTGAGATTTGATTGCTTTTTTAATTGTCGGGTTTGCCGAGCTATTCCAGAATTACTCTGAGTGAATAATATCCCTGGTAAATACCTAATTAAATATCAAAAAAAAATAATTATTTTATTTATTGTTTTTCTGTTTTTAAAGAAGTTCTTAAAATGAAAATCAAATGAAATAATTAATTTTATATTAACAAAAAAAAAATAAATGGATAAAAATAATAACATCAAAAAAATATGTTATTTGTGAAAGAAAATTAAATTTTACCTTTCTTTTTGTGAAAGGGAAATTTTTTTTTTAAATATAAATTTCGTTGTAAACAAGTACAGGGGAGGGGGGAGGCGATGAGTTAACCTTCGTAAAGTGGTCACTCAATGGAACCTTATTTATGGTCAATTAGCGGTTTCGGCGCGAATGCCATGAGCTATCTTTAATTTAATAAATTTGTTTTGAGCATGTGTAAATCATAAATAAATGACCTTTTTTCATAATTTTTCCGCGTTTAATAAATACTATCTTTTTAGAATTTAGCCAATTTTTAGCTAGCTTAAACCAAGTTTTTGCCGAAAATTATCATTTTGGCCTCGAGATTTTTCTTAAAAGATAATAGCTCAAATTTGGAAGAAACTTATATAAATTAAAACGGCTTAATGTCAACGGATTTTCTCCGGCAAATGCCTGAAGATTGAACCGAGATTTAACCATTACCCAACTATACTAATGACGCAAATTTCTACAAATATTTTTTTTGGTACAATATAAATAAATAATAGATATTTGATTTCGATATTTAATATTATATAAATGAATTTATTTTTTAAAAAAAATATTAAAAAATCAAAAACTAATTTTTTTTAAAAAAATGATGAAATTTACGTAAAACTATCACTTCGAAATCAAAATTTATGACAAGTTATATTTTTTGTAACAAATATAAAATAACCTTAACCATTATCAAAAATCTGGTAAATAAAAAAATTATTTATGGTTATCGAAATGAAAACACAAATTATATAGTACATTACATATACATATGGATGGACATTATCATTAAAAACAAAATTCTAATATAATGAAAGATATAATATAATTTTAATTTCTTAGATAGAATATATTTTCTGACTACCAAACTAAGAGCTAAAGTATCATCAAGATTCAAAAATATGCATCAGAGTTAATTTGATAAATGAAAACATATTTGAAGTATAAATTAACCCCCCCCCCCCCAGACAAAATGATTCACTAAACCAAAATAGGGTTTCCTAGTTCAAAAAAATAAATATTTTAAGAAGTTTTTAATGTTAGTTCTTTCTATCTAATATCAGGATATAAAATTAAAATAATGAATAGAAATAAAAAATATAATCATTTGAAATGGGGTTTAATAACACCGGAACATTTACGTTTACAAATACTGCATTTATGAGTATACCTTTTTAAATGCTAGTAGTTTTTATATGAGAAGAATAGGTAGCCAAAAAATGATACTTAGAAGAAGACATATTTTTTTTTGTGCTTTGCTTCATTCTATTTTGAATTTTTTTTTAAAAAAAAACCTCCGATAAGATATAATGAAGGTGTAGGCTAGTGTTGTTAAACGGCTTGTTTTGAGCCGATTTTTTAAAACGGCTAACTAAATATTTTAGCAAAAAAATATTGCCTAAGCCTGGAGATTTCGATAATATATGTCTAGATCTTTGTTCCTTCTATGAGCAAAATCTTCAGGCTTGCGTAATATTCTCTGGAATCCGTTTTTAAAAATCGGCTCAAAAAGAGCTGTTTAACAAGTAGGCCCAACCCAAAAAATAGTATGATTTAAAAAATATTCAACGAGGAATTTTATGAACGAATTTATTTTAAATTTTTTTTAGATTAATGAATTATTAATCAATTTTTATTTTCTATATAGTTAATAAGCTGAAGTCCATAACTCATTGAATGTAAAAAAATCGATATTGTGTCTAATAATTAATTTTACTTCTTCTTCCAATTACTAAAAAGTAATGTTGATTAAAAATTGATGAGTTTTAAAATAAATATTACTTGTCACGCCCACATTTATTTTTATAACAAATTGGTTACTGTACTTTTTTAAAATTTTAATAATCCATTTTTAAAGAATTTAATTTTTTCGACGAATCAAATCGAATACGAATAATACTATTGGTTTATTTTATTTAAAAAATATTAGCATTTTATATATAAAAGGAAGTATATAAAGCCGTGTTGTGCAGAATTGACAGTAAACATTTCCATAACTAGCAAAAATTGTTAAAATAACATAATATTTATTTAATTTTCTAGCAATTTTTAACAATTGAAAATAAGTTCTTCATATATGGAAGTTTCTAAAATTTCGATCTATATAGATTTCTGATATTTACCATATCATTTTTTTTTAATTTTTTACACTGAATGATCGAGAAAAACGGACATTTACTGAACTTTAATATTTTCAAAAAAATATATTGTAATCAATAAGTGAACCCTCGATTTTTTAAAAAAACTAATCAAATGTTTTAGCCCAAAAAAACATATTACGCAAGTCTGACGATTCTGCTCATAAATGGGAAGAAGAATTTGGACATCTATTAACTATCGAGGCTTGCGTAATATAACTTTGGCAAAATCGTGCCGTTTTAACAACTATCAATACGATTCCAACCCAACAAAGAAACGATATTTGAAATACTTACGAAATAAATGGGTTTCATTGATGAATAATTAGTTTCTAGGCCTACTTAGGTATATACTTATAGATTAATCGAAATCAAGTAGGGTAAGAAGGGGGGGGGGGGGAGTAATATGTGACTAAAGGAGGGAATTATTTACAAATTCCTCTTTCTCTTTTTTTTATAACGGAGGGAAATACTATTTAGATAAAATGCCATTAAAGATTTTAGGGGGCGAAATATATTTTACTTTACATTATGAAACATTATATAAAATTTAAATTATTATAATAATGAATAATTTATTAGCAAGCGGGAAAAGAAAAAATACCGTAACGGAGTATAATGTAAAAAAATGCCAAGCAAAATTATTTTCCATATATAATTTGAAAAAAATATGGTTAAATATTTTAGCCAAAGAATACGCAAGCCTAAAGATTTTTCTCGTAGATGGTAGAAAGGTTTGGACATCTATTAACGAAATATTGACCCTTGCATAATAGTTTTGGCTAAAATATTGAGTTACTCTTTTAAAAAAAAATTGAGTCGTTGTTTAACAACGCAACTTAGGTAGACCTAAATGAATTATTTGTATTCGATTATTTTGAAAGAATTTAGTAATATAATACTATTCGTTAATTATACCCAATCAAATAAGAATAGTATATTTTATTATATCCAATCAAATAAGTATATTTTATTATATTCGTTATGAGAAGAATAATTCATTATTCGATTTTATTTTTATATAAGCCTACGGTTAGGTTAGATAAGTAATTTATTATCGACTATTTTAGAACATTAAAAAAACGAAATATTTATCAAAACAATAATTTATATTTTTCAATAATAAAAATAAATGGCTAGATTTTCAGTAACATTTATGAGAGCAAAATTTCTAGTTGAAGTGCCATTGATTGATTTTTTTTATTAATGCCAGAATCATTAAATTAAATAATATCTATACTAGTAGTTTTGTAAAAAAGAAAGATTTGGGTCAGAGGAATATAACCAAAATATTATTAAGTAATCCTAGAGATTTTGTGCCTAGATGGCAGAAAGATATGAACCACTATTTGCCAAATCTCGAGGCTTGAATAATATTATTTTTGCTAAAATATATTAATAAGGCTGTTTAGAAAAATCAACCCAAATAGAATTTTTTTTAATACCACTATATAGTATATACTAGTATATTTTATTTAAGGCAAAATCTTACTCTTTAGTTGATTTGACCAAAACCAATTTATGGGTCAGGTTATATAGGCCCTTTTAGTCACTCATAATCCCCCCCCCCTCCAAAAAAATAAATATAATCTCCAAGGGAATTTTTTTCTTATTCTTATCATACAAAATCAAATACCAATTAGCATCGTTAGAAGATCCCTTATTTATACTTATAAAATTGGGTAAAGTTAAAATTTTCTAGAATTATATATTGGACATGTTTTTTAAAAAAAGAAGCTTATTTTTCTTTTTCGATAAAGTTTCGAAAGTATGCGATTCGAATTTTTTTGATATTTTGGTCGCAGCCTTAAAAAAAAATAAAGTTATTCCCCGCTCGTAATTAATAACGTATTATAAAAAAATATGAGACAAGGACCTTTTTTTTAAAAAAAAAAGAAGAAAATTTGCTTTCAAAAAATAAAATTTTGTTTATGAAGATGAAAATTGAAAAACACATAAAAAATTGTTATTTTAGTTTCATTTTTTTGGCTATTATAAGTTTAAAAGAGATATTTATTATAATTTAAAAAAGGATAGGTTCTATATCGCTAAAAGAAAAATCGCTACAAATTAAGAATTTGGCTTATATCTTCTAGAAATATTTTAGTAAATTTGAAAATAATATTAATAGTTGCTAAGGAGAAGCAAACTTTAGCATTTAAATTGATTTTTTTTAAAAAATCGCCGAAAATGGAGGAAATATCATTGTTCTAAACTTTTAAATAACTTAATTTAAATACAAGTGTTTATGTTTACTTCCCTTAGCATATATTAATATTAATTCCAAATTTACTTTAAAAAATTTTAAGGAGATTAAAGCGAAATTCCCAATTTTTTTTTGTTTTTGGCGATTTAGAACGGGAACCTTTAAGAAAAAAAATTTGTTTTATAAAAGAATGTTATTTTTTTATAAAACATTTTGTAAGGTAAAATTTCTAATTGAGTCTTGAAAAGGTGTGCGCGAATTGATGGATGGGAAACATTATTTTTATTACATTTTTTATAATGTACTCGTAAATAATTTCTTTTAACAGATGTATTAATTTTGAAAAAACTGGTAGATTATTATTAATATTCTAAGAAACCTGCAGAGGTATCATTTCCATGGTCCGGCCCGGATTTTTTTAGATTTTTATAGCTAATAATGGCGATTCAAAATATTTGGGTTTAAAATATAAAGCCCTGCTGGGG